CCCACCCATTATTATTATTTCATCAGAAACCTATCTACAGGAGAGATATTTGTATAAACTCAGAAAAGAACGCCTTCAATCCAGTCAGTGACCAGCCCGATCTACTCTTTTTATGGGTCGAGAAACAACCCCACTGCTCCCTGGGACAAACTGCTATTTGGGGAATGCAAAACGAAGAAGCCTCTGCTCTGTGCCCCTTCATAGTGGTAAAGCTCCCTCACCTTGGCCAGGGACGCCCTATGCCTCTTTATCTAAACCCTTGCAAAAACGTTGAAAAATAGGAATCCCACAATCAAATCCTGCAGCATCCTATTGTTCTCTCTCTTTTTGGATGAGAAAAAGCTGGTGAATTTTGAGTATCATTTTCAAGCCAGCGTTGTACTCATCTAACTGCCATTCCATACAGCCCTCATTTGCCTAATTAGTTAAATTCAATGTCAAATGTTTTGCTGAAATCAAGACACTTTATGTGTGCAGATTCCCACAATTTACTATGGAAGGCCAAAAAAGCAAAATAGGTTAGTCTGGCAAAAAAACCCAAACCTGTAAAAACACTCAGTACAAAATTTTAATTAATTGAAATTTAATGTAATCAATTTAATTAAATTTAACTAATCACTGCATTGTTTCTTGCACACTAGTACTTTCCAGATTGTATCCAATTCTTCTTATAAATGACTGGGCCACTGGTCCTCTATTCCTCAGATTTATCTCCTGAGCTCACCAAGAATTTCAAGTATTGCCTAGCAGGGCATTCAGCTGGGAACCATCCCATGAAGGTTACTGTCCACCTTGCCAGAAGCCCATGAATGAGTGGAGAGAAAATTTGCCTGTGCAGTTTAACAGGAGGAAGAGAATGAGAAGAGGAACCAAAACTGCCACTTCTTCCAAGGGATTACATGCTCATCTTGGGGGAGGGAAATAGATATATTATGAGTAGCTGATGATTACTGAATATGGGTTTGAGAGGAAGTTCCCCAGCAACTTCTTCCTCTATGGAGAGAGTGTGAGAGAAGGAAAGAAGAAGAAGTAACAATCCACACTTTTACTGGGGCCTTAAGGAACTGAAGATGTATGGACAGAACTCTACAGCCACATTTTCATTAATGACCTGGATGAACAGAAGGGAATTCTGATTGCAGATAACAGAAAACTGGGTTCCAGTTAGAAAACAGGTATCCATTGTGTAAGGTTTGCCCCGTTCGACAGAGAAACTCTCGTGACACGTGTGGTTTACAAAGAAGGT